TAAGGTAGTTTAACAGTGAATTTAATATTGGAATGTTTACCGATAAGGAAGGTTAAAAACTCTCATCGTGTTCAACCTCTCTAAAGACGATAAAAGTATCATCCACATATCTTATATAATATATATTGACTTAAACTGTACAGGGCATTCCTCAAGCCATTTTTTTTCTCATGATGACAAGGAAATACATTCCAAGTGATATGGCTAATCTTGACCTCGTCCAGTTGGTCATAGATATCATTATTAAACATAAAATGAGATTCCTTAGTGACATAAGTCATCAGTTTTGAAACATATATCCAGGAAATCTTATTTGGTTATTATAATTAAAGTACAATAGTTCTATGCACAAACTTATAGTTTCTTCTAGTGGTTATGTTGGTATATAAAACTCTGTATCAAAACTAACACAGTGCTCTTCTTTCTTGAAAGTTAAAGATCTTATTTCTTGTGAAAACCCAAAAGTATTTTTATAGTATATTCATATTTAATTATAGGTTTCAACAACTTAACTAAAAACACAGATAACTCATGGTTGTAAGTACCTATATTTGAGTTCATCAGACATCCATCTTTACGAATCTTAAGAACCCCATACATAATCTCTGCATCGAAACCAATTGATCTTAAAATACGATATTCATGACTTGTCAATAAATTATCCTTCTTCAATTGTTACAAATACCTTTGTAATTTATTTTCTCTGTGTCTGGTTTTAATAGAATCTTTGTCTAATTTTACAAATTTGTTTTTGTTTGTTTTTGTTTTTTTTGAATTTCGCGCAAAGCTACACGATGGCTATCTGCGCTAGCCGTTCCTAATTTAGCAGTGTAAGACTAGAGGGAAGGCAGTTAGTCATCACCACCCACCGCCAACTCTTGGGCTACTCTTTTACCAACGAATAGTGGGATTGACCGTCACATTATAACGCCCCCACGGCTGAAAGGGCGAGCATGTTTGGTGGTATGCGGATTCGAACCCGCGACCCTCAGATTGTGAGTCGAGCGCCTTATCCACCTGGTCATGCCGGGCCTACAAATTTGTTACTGTCATTTATAACTTCATTAACATTATTTACATAGTCTATTTCATTTGACAAAACCACAATATTCCAGTTATTAGGTTTTACAATCAATATGTCTTCATTATTACTTAACTTTCTAAGGCTAAACTTCCTCCTTATTTATATTAGTAAGTTTCTCCAGAATAATGCTCATTGAAAGATGTTAAATCTGTGCTACTAATCTTTGTTCATATACTGTTAAAAGATTCATTACCTTTACTTCAAATAATCTATTTAGAAATTGTTTCAATTTAATAAATAATCCCCATATTTAAGATTTTTTTGGTGGAATAATAAATTTTAAACTAAGGGTCAAAACCCCTTTTCTATATCATTTAAATTATAATTGAAAAAGTTAAAAATAACCTTATTCAGATGATCTCTAAAACTTTTCTTGTTATATTTATTTATCTATTTTTTTCTAAATGATTATTCCTACGTTTTAATATAGCTTTATTATCTCTGTATATCTGTCCAGTAAATAAGATGATTGTAATCAGTTTGGCTTAGCTGCTTTTTAAGCAATGACAAATGTTCTTGAAATTGCCTTTTAATTACTTTATCTGTTTTAATTTTTTTGTTTTATTTCAAAATTCTATAATTTTGTCTTAAATCGTGAATATTCTCTTGAACCACAAAATTGTGCAATACATACTTTAAAATTATTCCAAACTAGCAGAATTGCTAAACATAGTATTCGTACCTCATTGAAAATAAATTAGAAAACGTGAACATTTTCTAAAAAAAAATATTTTTCTTGGAAGTACTGCACGGGAAAAGTGTTCGGACTGTGATGATATAAACTGTAATGTTTTTATATATTGAAAGTTTTAATAACTCCATTTTTGAGTACTTTATTTACAAATTACACCAATATTGATATAATTAAACCCTCACATACAGCCCTAGTGAAAGTCATGTTCTTGTGAGGAGAGTACTTTTATTTGAAATTGTGTTCTGTGATAAAGAAATGGTTGTTGCACATACTGTAGTTAATTTTTTCTAATTATCTGAATCTTGAATACCCAAAGTGAGAATTTTTTATAGATTTTTGTTTGTGGTGCCATTCAATAGATGGCGACCCATTGCATTTATTATTTCGGTCACACATAGATACATACACACCCTCTACATCAATTATAGTAAGATAATCTAGATCCAATTTATTAATGTAACATTTAAGGTGTAATTTCTCATCTTTCATAAACCAAGACAATGTAGAATGATTATGTATATTGACAATTATGGTAGCAAAACTGACTTTTTTTTTTGGAAATCTAAGACATAATGAAGTTCAACGGAAGAACACATATAATATAATTTTTTGTTATCAGATTAAATATCTGAAGAGCTACTAACCATAAAATTGTAAATGATGGAACAACGTTATTGTTGTAATTTAGAAAGTAAAACTTTAAATTAGAGCAAGGACGCCAACTATTCTACCATTAACTAAAAGTATCCAATTAGAATCAAAAAATGCGTTTTGATACTCGCAGTGGGCACATCACAGATAACCAATGTATAACTTAGTGCTTAATAACAAACAAATGCTTACTTGCAAAGCAATGTTATGTAATAACTAAAACATTAAGTCAAGTGAGAACATAATTCATCTTAATAGTTTTATTACATTAATATTTTTAATACAATTTTGACTTTTTCCTTAATCTTAATTTTTAGAGGTTATATATAAGTACAGAAGTGTTGGCTTCTGAATTTATCATTTCGTAAATACTGGATAATTGTAAACATTCACTGAAGACTAAATCGTAGGACCCCTGCTATACCTGAGTTAATCAAGAAATCCGTGCATCCTAATGAATTAATAAATTATTATAGCAATAAATTTAAACGTAAACTGGAAGTTGTAATGAAAAGGAAAAATATAGATTATATTGTTTATCACTTTCCACAGATTTTTTATTACTGAGCGAATACAAATTTTTTGACTTCATTTAGTTGTCAGTGACATTTTGGGACTTACGTGATCTTCCTTAGCATTAAACATTCCAGATGATCGATCTGAAATTTATTCTAACCAAATACTACCTACATTTTATTGGTTTTGCGTCACTTATGATCATAATTAAAGTTTTAGCTCCGATTCATGGTGTCAGCGTGTTTATTTTAATATGGTATATATGTTTTGTTTTTAACATATTGCTGTTCATGTGTTGATATTGTTATCCATCACGAGATTCCTAATTTAATTTTCAATAAACTAGTTTCGTTATACATCATTAATTTTCCCTTTTCACATTTGCCATCAATTAATACCTTACAGAGATTAAATCAGCATCCAACATTAACCCTATCATCAGGACAGTGAATGTATTAGATAAATCACTGTCCATAAAGAAAATGATCATTAAAACTTCCAAAAGACTTGAGTTCTTGACAGAGAAGATGTTAGTCAACAGTCCTATAATATTAAAGCTCAAATTAATCTGTAGTAGATGAGATAGTGATTGATTTTCACTTTATTAGCATCAGCCAATAAGGACGAAGTAAAAGTTTAAAGTGTTATTCTGTTCTAAAATTCACATTTAAACGTCTTTCATTTAACAGCGATCTGTGAAACTTATCTGAAACATTGTTTTTGTTCGTTTTCTGAATCTTGCCGTATCTGCCAGAGGAATAGTTGTGGCAACCGTCCCTAATTTTGAAGTGACCAACGAAAAGTAGAATTGATTGATTTTGCAGCAACGGGAGGCGAACCATGAATTCACATTCCTGCACGCTAATGACTAGGACTCGTCCGGATTAACAAATATGTTTTAATGAAATAATTAATGATGTGTAAGAATGTGTCTCGAGATTATAATTGGTTCTGTATTTCTTTCCAGAACATTTCTACTGTTGCCGGGGTTACTGTATGGATTTACTGCAGAAGTTAGGGAACGACTTAAACTTTACCTACAGTCTTTATCAAGTGGAAAGTGGACAGTATGGCAGTTATGAATATGTAAGATCGTTGTTAAAATGCATCTTCACTTAGTTTCAAACCTTGTCTTTTTATGACTTTTTCATTTCAGCAACATTTACTGATGTTATATTGTGGCCATAACAAGTTATGCTTATCCTTGGAAAAATATACATCATATTTTTTGGCCATCTTTTTCTTTCCTTTTTTCCTCTCTGGTTAATAAAAAGCTTTCAAAATATATTCAAAAGAGCCTATCTTGTGAAGCTGTTGGTTAATTTATTGTTTTGTAAACTACAAGTTAAACGGAAAGTAACAAATAACATAAAACTGATAAAGTATTTTCAAATTTTCGCATGTTAATAATTTATTCATCCTAAAGTTAATTACTAACGTCATTCACATGAATGAATATTTGATAATATTGCTGGGTCTAAGTAAGAACAATAATTTAAGGAGTATATTTGTATTTATGGTTGTTGTTCTTACCATTCTGTTAATCCTAACCTAAACTTCCAAAGATTTTAATTTTTCTTAGTTTTGTTCACAGCTTATATTCGAAACTTTTTAGAGAACGATGTGAACTTTCATTTTCAAGTAATTTCTATACTAACGCTCTGATTGGTGATCAGTTCTCGTGCTTCATCCCTTTGAATTAATATGTATATATATGTCCATAATAAGTAAACAAAGATTTAGTTGTTATTTCCTGCAAGCAGTAGGTAGGGTTTTAGGTAAAGTTTTCACATTTTACCCATGTTCGTTCCATGGTTTCATATCTTAATATTGAAATATCCTTGCTGTTTGAGATATGTCTGATTTGGAGGGTAATGTGTATTTTTTAATGTGTATTAAACTTCCAGCGTGTTTTTATTACTAAAACATGTTTTTGCTCATTGGTTACGTTAACAATCTAATGGCATATGTTCTTGTTAAGACTGTATATTTCAAATAGTTTCCTGAACCTAGAGTTACGTTTCTTTTACTGAATATCAGTGACAAACGGTAATTTTATACAAAATGTAGCTTAAGTAACGTCGATAGTATGACCCATTTTCAGTAACTTCCATTGTTCTTTAAAGCAGTGTTTTACTAAATTAAATATACAATAATATTAAGTAAAATAAAGAATACCACTTTCTAAAAAATAGAATAACAGTAAGTGCAAAACAGAGGTTGTGTGAGATAGAATAACATCTCGTGGAGATAAAATAACTTTTTTTTTAAATAATGATAATATCTATACTAAAGCCAGAAAAGGCATTTGTGAAAACATGAACGTAAACAAATATTTTATAACTTGTACTGAAAATATAAACTTATAAAATTTAATTTTACGCGTTTTTCTTCCCAATATATTACATAACTTGATTTACAAAATATGTTTTATTGTTTATCTATAAGCAAACTTATAATAGTCGACAATGAGATTTGCTTCATATTTCTAAACTACTAATTCCCATTAAGATTGTAAAAAAAAAGTTTTGAATTAAATGAAAAACAAAAATATCGCTTCATTTTAGCATTGTCTATGTTTGGTAATGTTGTTCAACTGCTTGTTAAGACTAAACATGTTGATAAGTACTGCTTGGCAAGTAAAACATCAAAACTTCTAGCTACAAAATTGAATATAATACAGTCTGTATACTCTCTATTGGTGGTGTACACCCCAAAATTTTATGTAATATTTTTGTGTTGTTAGTTTCCTTCATTTTACGTCCATTTAGCAACAATACCGTTTGGTTAAAACTAAATATAACTAGGAATTTGCAAAATTTCCCCAAAACTAATCACCAGATTAGTTTCAGTGTTGTGGTATGTATCCACTCACTAGCAAAATTTACAAATTATTATAGAATAAGATTATTCCAAGAAACTGACATAAATACTTTGGTATTATTAGAAGTTTATATATTTTTCTATGCACGTCTTTAATGGATAGCTAGGCGTATCTGTCATTTCAAAGCTCAACTTATCTTTCATAAATTCGCAATATTTACAATTCCAGATCAATGGCTCAAAGAAGAAGAATTGGACTGGTATGATGGGAGATGTAGTGTATGAAAAAGCAGATATGATTGTCGCTCCGCTCACCATCAATCCTGAACGATCTCAAGTTATTGAGTTTACTAAACCTTTCAAGTATCAGGGAATCACAATACTAGAAAAGAAGGTAGATGAAATATAAATACATTGGCAGAAGTTTCTGAGTTACATTCACAGTGATTTAAAGATCTCTGAAAACAATACTGAAGAATTGCATCAGTAATCAATCATCAGATTAAACATGACTGGTTTTTGGAGAAACGTGTTTATTTTGTTAATAGACTAAACTTGAGGAATATCAAGGAAACAATGGCTACAAAAACTAACGTGTCAAAGTAGTCAGCTAAATTAAAAACTGTAAAATAATAAACAATAATAATAATAAACACATACGTTAGGCTTTACCGTATTGCAAGACCAGTAGCAATATGTCGGAAATATGACTGTATGTTTAGTTTATGATATTTAGATAGACGGAAAACATTCTATCAAATCTGTTAACATGGATTGTGTGTGCGTTCAGTTTCATACACAATAAATTATACTGAGGCTTTAACTTTCGAGTGTCTGGTACATAAAGCTTATCAAAACATGAACTTGGATTATGGCCAAAACTTCCGTTATCAATGATGGATTAGTATATACTAATCATTATAAGTTTATGCATTTTGACAATCTATACTCCTAATTAGACCGGTATACTAAATTGACTATGTTAAATACTGATCAGAAGTTATTGTTTAGTTCTGATCTATGCAGATAGTTTGCTTTGATGAGAAGTTATTGTTTAGTTCTGATCTATGCAGGTACCTTGCTTTCATGAGAAATTATTGTTTAGTTCTGATCTATGCAGGTAGCTTGCTTTGATCAGAAGTTATTGTTTAGTTTGATCTATGCAGGTAGCTTGCTTTGATCAGAAGTTATTGTTTAGTTTGATCTATGCAGGTAGCTTGCTTTGATCAGAAATTACAGTTTAGTTTGATCTGTGCAGATAGCTTGCTTTGATCAAAAGTTATTGTTTTGTTTGATCTATGCAGGTAGCTTGCTTTGATCAGAAGTTCTCGTTTAGTTTGATCTCTGCAGGTAGCTTGCTTTGATCAGAAGTTACCGTTTAGTTTTATCTGTGCAGGTAGCTTGCTTTGATCAGAAGTTATTGTTTAGTTTGATCTATGCAGGTAGCTTGCTTTGATCAGAAATTACAGTTTAGTTTGATCTGTGCAGATAGCTTGCTTTGATCAAAAGTTATTGTT